TGTTCATGGGGGCTTGTACACTGATTTTTTAGTAAAGCTGCTTTGTGACAACGCTAGTTGTAAAAAGTGCTATATAAATAAACTTTGCCTTGACTTGATCATCTTGCCAAATGCTGACAGTTTAGCCCAGAGTGCAGAAGTAGTCTCTGTAGTGTTTAGCAGCCACCAGAGAACCACATTCAGGAAATGGGAACTTTGAAACTCAGCTCCCTCAAAATTGATTTTCAATCAATACTTATTAAGATTAGATGGGTCACAAAAATTTAGAAAAAAAGTAAACACCAAAGGCAAATTAGGCTGGGGAGAATAACAACACACAGATGCCAGGAAACAAAGTAGAAAGGCATGTCCAATAGGCAAATATATGGTAGCAAGAGCCAATAGGAACGATGTGAGTTTGATTAAACATTTCTCGAGCAAAGCTGAGAAGTCCAAAATAAATTGCAATAAGTTGATTCAAATCAAAGATCCTGTTTGAACATCTGAGTCCAAATCATTTAAATGTAAATTTTTATGCTATCAGATACATTCACAGATACAGAATACTCTGTCAGCACAACCAATGAATCAACTCATGTTTTAGCTAAAAACTTTAAAACCCATTCAGCTTGTGCTGAGGCAACCAGCTACTCCTGATAGGCATCAAGACTGTTTCATGCACTTGGCAACCATCACTTAACGTAGGTAAATCTCAATAGGCTAATACTAGGACTAGTATATGGAGTGACTCAGACCAGACCACTCAGACCACATCTCTGTGATGCTCACTCCAGCATACAGACTGCTCATCAGACATGCCAAACCGGACCAGAAGCAAGTGAGAACCACCTGGCCACCAGGAGCTATCTCTGCTCTTCAGGACTGTTTTGAGCACACTGATTGGGAGATGTTCAGAGAAGCAGCAACTTCCGGTGACTCCATCAACCTGGAGGAGTATACAGAATCAGTGACTGGCTACATCAGCAAGTGCATTGATGATGTTACTGTCTCCAAACTCATCAATACACACCTCAACCAGAAGCCATGGATGACTGCAGAGGTGCGCATACTGCTGAGAACTCGCGACAAGGCTTTCAAGTCAGGGGATAAGACAAGCCTCAGGATAGCAAGAGCCAAGCTTTCCCGGGCCATCAGAGAGGCAAAGCGCATCTACTCAAAGAAAATCCATGATCATTTTCAAGACATTGCTGACACACGGAGCATGTGGCAGGGCATCCAGGCCATCACCAACTACAAGTCACCTCCACCTGCTTGTGACAATGATGCCTCCCTTCCAGATGCGCTGAATAACTTCTATGCTCGGTTTGAAGCACAGAACGGCACAACGGCAAGCCTCCAAATGAACAGGTACTGTGTCTGTCCACAGCTGATGTGCGGAGAACGCTACACAGAGTCAACCCACAAAAAGCCTCAGGATCTGACAGCATACCGGGCAGAGTGCTTAGAGAATACGCTCAACAGCTGGTTGATGTTCTCACGGACATATTCAACATCTTTCTGAGCACTGCAGTCGTTCTAACGTGCTTCAAGTCCACCACCATCATCCCTGTGCAGAAGAAGTCTCCAGTGTCCTGCCTCAATGACTACCGTCCCATTGCACTCACCCCCCATCATCATGAAGTGCTTCAAGAGGCTTGTCATGAGGCACATCAAAGACCAGCTCCCCCCTTCACTGGACGCACTGCAATTTGCATATCGCCCCAAGACGATGCAATCTCCACCACACTCCACCTGGCTCTCACCCACCTGGACAATAGAGACACCTATGTCAGAATGCTGTTCATAGACTTCAGCTCAGCATTCAACACCATCATCCCTCAGCAGCTGATTGGAAAACTGAGCCTGTTGGGCCTGAACACCTCCTTCTGTAACTGGGTCCTGGATTTCCTAACTGAGAGACCTCAGTTAGTCAAAATTGGGAACATCTCCAGCATACTGAGCACTGGCACCCCCCAGGGCTGTGTGCTTAGTCCACTGCTGTTCACTCTGCTGACTCATGACTGTACTGCAAAATACAGCTCAAACCACATCATCAAGTTCGCTGATGGCACGACTGTGGTGGGTCTGATCAGCAAGAATGATGAGTCAGCATACAGAAAGGAGGTGCAGCAGCTAATGGACTGGTGCACAACCAACAACCTGTCTCTGAATGTAGACAAAACTAAGGAGATGGTTGTTGACTTCAGAAGAGTGTGAGGTGACCACCCCCCACTGAACATCACTGGCTCTTCTGTGGAAATCGTCAGGAGCACCAAGTTCCTCAGTGTCCAAATCACAGAGAACCTCACCTGGTCCCTCAACACCAACTCCATAGCCAAGAGAGCCCAGCAGCGCCTCTATTTCCTGCGGAGACTGAAGAAAGCTCATATCCCCCCTCCCATCCTCACCATGTTCTACAGTGGGACCGTGGAGAGCATCTTGAGCAGCTGCATCATCGCCTGGTTTGGGAATTGCACTGCCTCCGACCGCAAGTCCCTACAGCGAAAAGTGAGGGCAGCAGAGAAGATATCGGGGTTCCTCTGCCCTCCATCATGGACATCTAAACCACACGCTGCATGCACAAAGCCACCAGCATTGTGGACGACCCCATCCATCCGTCACACAGACTTTTTCACTGTTGCCGTCTGGCAGAAGATACCGGAGCATCCTGCTAATGCAGTGTTTACACTTTGTTCACTCTAGCACTGCATATATCCTACCTCAGGAATTGCTATGCTCAGGTATGTTATAATCTGACTGCGTTTACTCACAGTTACAGCATGTTAAATAATCTTTGCACCTTATTCCGCTACCTCATGCTCAGAAATGAGTGCTGTGTCAGTGCTGCACTATCCCTTGATTACTGGCCTGTTTGTATGTGACTGTAAAGTCAACTTAAGTAAAAGCAGTGAATATAAAACATTTGAATAAAGTTACCTTAACTCAAAATATGCTAAATAACAGACATTCTTTAGTGTTTAAGTTTAGTTAACTTAATTATTTCATTCAAATATGCAGTTAGGTCTGGACATTTAGGTGCATTTTGGGCAAAAGACTCTTCAGTCTGTAGGACTTACCCAAATTAATTGATCTAAACTAGCTTTACCTAAGTAACTAAGGATGATACAAAAAATAGTATGTGTCACGTGACATCAACAACTCAAATGTAAGCATTTTGTTTACTATCCAAAATGACCAGTGAACCTACATATGTCTTTTGAGTATTTATATGTAATGTTGATAATGGTAAAATAGTAGTAAATCCAAAAGAAGTTTTCTTTGGGGACTATTTTGCCATAGAACATCCTTTATCTACGTCACAGCAATGAATGCATTTTAAGAAATGTGTTCTAGGCCAAACATTATCTCAAAACTATTGCAAAACCTGAATGTCTCACTACAATGTATTAACTCAGGGATGTCCCATCTTATCTGCAAAGGGCCACTGTAACTGCAGGTTTTCATTCCAAACAAGCAGAGGCACACCTCGTTCCACTTGATTAATCAGTTGGTCAGGCTTCAAACAACTGATCCAGTGAGTTCCTGCTTTGTTGTAATAAAAACCTGCAACCACACCAGCCCTTTGAGGATAAGATTGGCCATCCCTTTATTAACCATTTCATGTAATAGCTTTCTGTGAGGTAGCTTTAAGAGGCATTAAATGCTTTGGACATCTGGTTCCTATTACCACCACAGTGAACAATTCTGTCTCTGCACATTTCTCTAGAATGGAGCATTTCACGTCAAGCCACTCTGAATGACTATGCAAGAATTTTGAAACATTAGAAATTTCCCCTTTTCATTTCCATAACATCATTTACACAAGTAAAATATATCAAAAAAATGTGTCTTTCAGTTAACTTACATTTGGCAATACCTGGTTTTGAATGTAGTACATGTAATGCATTACTTGTTTCAGTGCATGGAGAGTTGTTTTTTTTTTTTTAAATTAGAATTTTCTCCAGACCTCCTTGCTTTCTTTATCTGCATGATCAGTGTATCTTTCAACAAGCAAAAGGAGTGAAATCGTATTTAGTTAACCATCTGGTACATAACCTTTCGATGAGGACTCCAATGCAGCAAAACAACACATTGTCGAGGCTGTTCCTTATGCCCAGGACTTGAGAACAGAGGGCAGAACCTTAATAATACATAAATAAATGGTGGCTGTAGAAAGGTCTATGAGCTGGTCCTTGGTCTGTCAGAGCAGACGACAGCCTCCAACTTGAAGCTCTTGCTGCAGGAAGGCAAGACTCGCACAGATCATTAAAGGTTTTAAAAAAAACCCAGCTCTTGTTAAATTTATAGACCTATCCCAAGCTCAAAGTCTAGGAGAGAGAAAGAAGAAAGAGCTGTCCTCATGCAAATTCAAAAATGCAAATAGAAGATACACTAAGAGATTGATCTGTTGAACCCTTTCAGGTTAAAGATCCACTTATGTACAGCTTTGTCAAAACAGCAATTGCCTGAAATGAATATTATTATCATTATTGATACTCTTACAATGATCTACTTTGTATGTAGTGATTGGAAAAAAATAATTTGAAATGTTCGGTTGCAGTAACCTTCTTCTAATACACAATTTAGCTTTTAATTGTTTATGTAATATAAGATAATAAACCTGTGAATCGCAAAAAAATTAAGCTGGCCATTGAAATGCAGTTAGAGTAATGCTGCAGCTTTCAAGATCACTTCTCCAAAGAACTGTGTAGGTGTTTTATTTCAATACTGTAATAGAGGCCTGAAGAAAAAAAAAACACCATAGATTGCTCTAGGAAGCTGTATTTTTCTCTGTTTCTGATCATCAGTTGTTTCATACATAAGTTATTTAAGATATTGTGCATATGTTCACAATACATCTGAATTCATTAATTTCCGCTAATACACTCCTGACCTTTCACATTCACGGGCTAACTGACTCCTATCTGTTATTAGTGTGAGTGAACCTGCGCCCCGAAACCTCCCGCATGCGCATATCCAACGCAGTAACGTCACATGAATGAACCACGTGCATCCTGAAAAACAACAAACGACTACCAGACCAAACCACGTAGCAGAGCAGGCGTTAATCTTGAAGATAATTTGCTCGGGACAGCTCTCTGATGGGCATTATTGGTGCAAGAGGAAGGCCAATAAGGTTAGATTACTTTTGTGCCATTCAGTGGCACTCGCTTAAGGTTATGCGCTCTGGGTGGTGCACCCGTCAAAGCTTCCTTTTAAGGTCGCATAGCCACGAATCTTTTTTTTTATTTATTTGATCGAGATCCAGGACCACATATGAAACCCCTCCCGGGCAGCTCCACCATGCTGGTGGACAGTTAGAGACTTCCGTTTGTCGTGTGTTGATAGCCATCACCAAGTTGTTCACCAACAGTCAGATTGACCACAGACCCCTGCTCTGTCAGACTGAGTCGCTCTTGGTTGGATGTTTTTGGGTGGCGGACCACTTTTAACCGAGCAGTGATACTGACGTGTGAAAACTCCGCTGTGGCTGATGCCAGTGTCACACACTACCATAACACTACCGTATCGGTATCACTGCTGTGTTGAGAACCAAATAATATCTGATCAGCAGTGGTCCTGTGGTCAGAAACTGAGCAATGATGAATGGGGTGGAGGATGACTGTGCCTCAGAAGCTGGACTACAGTCTGTAATTGTACACCTGTATAGCAGACTTATAATTTACATGAACCAAATAATGGACGTGCAAGGTAAGAGTTTCAGACAAAGTTCTTGGTGTAAGAAATATATTATAAAGAATGTATCTTTTAAAAGCAAAGACATTTGCCATGTGCTGTTTTGCCATTGTATATATTTACCCTCTAACACATTCTATGATTTCCACAGTAGTTTTCTCAGGAGCTGTGTTGACTGACGGTATGCTGGCTCTCCACATCTTTGGCCCAGGTTAGTGCACATCAACAGCACAAAGAGCACAACCACTCTCATCCTGCAGCTGGCTTTCTGCTGAGTTAACACTCGGAGCGCAGCACACAGCACAAAACTACACAAAACAAGGGTAAAACCAGGAAACCATGGGGGTGATTAATTATTGCTCACCCAATAGGTATTAAAGCTGTCTGTTATTATTAGAAAATGGCCTCATGTAAGCGCAGGAGAGACATGTCCTGCAAAAATTGTGGATTTAATAGTCCCTAAGAAATTGGACAGGGACACGATTTTTATTGTTTATTAGCTCTGTACTCCAGAACACTACATTTCAAATGAAACATTGAAGTAGGCCGGGATGATATCTCAAAATAATTAGCATGACATTTTATTTATTAAAAATGGGGATTTACTTTCTGTGCAGTTTCTTGCTCATATGCTTTTTAGCATTAAATGATTTAATGAAAGTCTTTAATAGAAATCATATGTTAAATTACATAATATTGAGTATCTCAACATCTTTTTGTAACAAACTATTTTGTCTCTTGTTTTAGAAGTTTTGACTGCGAACGTGTATTTGTGAGCTCCTGCAGGTGTTCGTTCATGGCTGTTTCTTCTCTTTAAATGATGCACACAAAAGTGACTTGTGTGCTTAGTAAAAGGAAATTCTGACTTGGTAAGTTTCTCTAGAGTGGAGCACTTATCATTATACCACTCTGAATAACTGTTTACATCTCAACAATTGAAAGTTTGTGAATTTGACTAAGTACAGGCAAAGTCAATCATTCCAGGTTTTTTTTAACAACAGTCAACAGAAATAAACATATACAAACCAAACAATTTTGTGCAAAGCATTGTCAACTGTTGAAATAAAACTGCTCCAATTTTAACATTTAGGAAAGATGTGTATAGACATGACATTCAGAGTCGTTTATTAAACTTCAGCAACAATTTAGCCTCAAAATTCTCATCAGTGACCCTGACTCTGTTTGGGGTGAGAATCAGGCCTGCGCAGCTGAATAATAACTGCTAATTCACCAACCTTTAACGCTGAAGATTGATGCACAGACTGCTGGTCACAGCAATGCAGATAAGAAAATGGCAAAGAAAGAGATTTAAGATGAACATTGATAATTTGGAGATGAATGGACTTGTTTGCATTTATAATCACTTCAGCTGCTTTCCTGATACGTTTAATCTGCAACAAGTCACAAAGCTGAAGTCAGCTGCCCCCCTTTTACCCTGTTCATCAATAGTCAGAACCCCCAGAGGACCACCAGTAAGCAAGTATTGTTTGGGTTGTTGGTTATTCACAGCACTGCATTTACATTAACGTGTTAGTGGTATATTAGTGTGGGTATGGATGCTGCACAGAGTGAATCACACATAGCATCTTGTTCGAATTGTCCCGTTCCACCTTAAACGACGCAGCAGTACAACATTAACGTATGATTCCCATTGTACAATGGCAAGCCACTTCATTAAGTACCCCTACCTTATATCTACTTTCCTTGTCCCTTTTATTAGCTCCACTTACCATATAGGTAAACTTTGCAGGTTACGATTACAGAATGTAGTCCATTTGTTTCTCTGCTTTGTTTGTTAGCCCCCTTTTACCCTGTTCATCAATAGTCAGAACCCCCAGAGGACCACCAGTAAGCAAGTATTGTTTGGGTTGTTGGTTATTCACAGCACTGCATTTACATTAACGTGTTAGTGGTATGTTAGTGTGGGTATGGATGCTGCACAGAGTGAATCACACATAGCAGTGCTGCTGAAGTTTTAAATACCTCAGTGTCACTTCTGGGCTTAGAATAGTCCCAACACCATTAATATCCAACCAACGGTATGCTGTGACCAGAAACTGACCACTGACAAAGATCTAGAGCATGACTGCAAAAACTGTGCAGCAACAAACAAGCAATTTTCTTTATATGTATTATATATTATATATTTGTATTAGACTTTATATCTTCAAGGTGAACCAGAAAATAGGTGTCTCTAATAGAGTGGACAGTGAGTGTTTAAAAACTCCAGCAGCACTGTTGTGTCTAAGCCACTCGTACCAACTCAACATACAGCAACATCCCATTACTATGTCAGTGTCACTGTAGTGCTGAGAATGATCCACCGCCCAAATAATGCATGCTCGCTTGTGGTCCTGAAGGGGTCCTGGAGATTTATGAATGAAATAAAGTTTTTTCTTAAATTTGTTCTTGAGTAAGGTCCTGAAAAAGTCTACGTCAGGTTCATTATCTGTTTTTAAACTGTTCACACCTTTGTGTTCTTGAGTGTGCGTGGATTCTGTTCTTACCTAAGAACAAAACCCAAAAAAGAAAACATTGGTGAATGTCACAATCTTCATGAAAACTGTGTAAGTGGGTTTTAGGAAGAAATTTCTTCCTAACGACAGTTGGTGAATGAGGTCCAATAGGTTTAGATACAAAGTAGGTATACTTAATGACGTGACTTATCAGTATAGATGTAAATTCCCCAATTTAAAGCTGGTATTCTGCACTTTGACTATATAGTCATTATTTAATTTCAAAACCCAGTGTACTAGAGTGCAGAACCAAAATATCAAAAATTAAAATACTTGTGGACTGAATGGCCATTTTGGTATTTATTACGGTTATTATCTTTTACAGCATGTGCTTAAGCTGCTTTTAGAATGAGCCCGCTGTTACTGTGGCTCATGTTGTGTGGTACTGTGATTTCAGAGATGGCGGTATGTTTGTTTTGCCACTGGTAATGATGTTAGAGGTCCTGTAGCCGTAGGTGCCAAAGCTGATGCTGCACCACTACATAGCCTACATGATGGGTTTATGGCAAAGCATATCAACAGACTGTAGATTCACCTCGCCCCCAGGAGGGGCCGCAAAGGTCCTCCACCAATTTTGGTTTCTGAAGGGATGCCCAGCGGGAATATCACCTTCCCTGTTTGTGTTCATTTGCCTGAGACTGCCTGCTGAAACATTAATGCGCATCTCCGTTTCTCTTCATGTACACTCTTAAAAAGAAAGTTTACCAAAAGGTTTTTGGCTTGGATAAAAACCTTTTATTTGCTATGGAAACTTTACATTATGTGAAGGTTCTTTAAAGTGTAAAACAGGTTCTTTACACTTGCTTATCCCATTCAGAAAAACAGTTCTTTGGAAAACCATTCATTGAAAGAAAGGTTCTTCGGGGAACCAAAAGTAGATCTTCTGTGACATTGCTGCAAGGGTCCCAAATTGGGACCTTTATTTTTAAGATTTTACACCTCTCTCTCTCTCTCTCTCTCTCTCTCTCTCTGTCTCTCTCTCTCTCTCTCTCTCTCTCTCTCTCTGTCAGTGAGCTAAGCCTTGCGAGATTAAGTCTGGACTGGCAACAGACATCTAGTGGAACACCCACTAGGGGCTGCACGAGGAGAGTACCAGCACGGAGAGAGATCAATACAGCGAGCGAAAGGGAGAACAAGATGATGTGGGGGAGGAGGGTAAGGGGGATAGAATAGTGAGGGTGAGAGAGGAGGGAAGGCAGAATGAGGTGGGAGAAGAGGGGGGTGTCAGTGTGAGGAGAGCAAGAGAGAGAGTCAGTCCAGCGCTGAAGAGAGGGAGACACTGAGATAGTGTGCGAGCAGGAGGAGGAGAGAGAGTGAGAGCAAGAGGGAGAGAGAGAGAGAGAGAGAGAGAGAAGCAAGGTGCAGCTTCCCACATTGCAGCCGCGACTGGCAGGCTGATAGGAGCTCCCTTCTAAACGGTGGCAACAACAGGCCGTATAACACTTTCTGGCTGAAAGATCGATACAGCATCGGAGAAAGACGAGAAGCTTCCTTTGGAATCAGAGAAGAGGGGTAGGAGTCCGCATCGAAGAGCCAAGATCGACATCACTAACTGGGCTTCTCTAACTAGGTAAGTTTGCGTCAATGTCTGAAATGAGCACGACTTTTTTCTGGTCTAGGAGAGGGTGCTGGACGTAGCTTTGGCTTGACCAGAGGAGCAGGTTGGGGCTGGCTATTAAGGGTGTCAAGTAAATGAATTAGTTCATAGGCTTTGCATCAATCACAACATTATCACACAGAACACTTCGACCCACACAGCATCAGTCTACTGATCTTATTCCAGGAACTGTTGCCTTACTCAACTAACAACTCTTAGCATTTCTGTTTTATTTGTGCCAAGATTATATGGTCACGTATGGATACTGGGCTGTTTCCGCGTTTACTTGCAAAAATAAGGCCAACGAGTATCATCAGCTTAGACTATTTATTAATTATTTCTTTTTTACAATCTAATAACAGTTTTGGTGAGTTGTACTCTAAGGATGTAATTTTTATAATATGATAAGCAGCTTTTTGACTGACGTATTATACAGTGCAGTTACATATTTTCATCTTCAGCTTTAATTTAAGGCCATAAGGATGTATTCCATAATATGATGAGCAATTTGTGTGCATGTAATTTCTCATGTTTTGCCTTACTGCTTGATTAGACAAAGGACAATCACATACTTATATTTGCATCATACAATGTTTTCTGATTTTCATTGTACTTTGTAGTGTAAAGTTTGCATCAGAAACATCTTTAATTTCTGAGGAAAGTCAGTCAGTGAGGGAAAAAAGCACAGTGTAATTATATAATAATAACTGTTATATACCCTAAAAAGTGCAATCTAAACCAATATTATTAATAAAGGCATTCTAAGATGGTGTTGACTGCAGGGTTAGGGTTTATATCAGAAATGTTTGTATTAGAAACTATTTCTGTCAGAAGTCAATGGAAAAATTCCATGTGAACAAGAGTGCGATTGCATAATATCTGCATCATATAATGGTTATTGGCTTTGACTGCACTTTTTTAGAGTCAAGTTTGTATCAGAAGCCCTGAAGTTCCGCTGAAATAATAAGGCCCTTTCATTGGATGGCATTCTTTTAAATTTGTCTTTAGCATTGCATTCTATATGATAAAATACCTTTAGGAGTAAAGATGACATTGTTCATGTATATAGCTGAATTTATATGCATATAGCTCATTGTGAAATACTGTGTCATAGACTTTTGTTTGTAATCAGTGATTCTCCCAATTTGCTTAAGTCCGTTTGAAAGATTGATCATACTTCTGTCCATTAACTCAAACATCGCTATATTCATCACTTTGTCAGAGTTGTGTTTCTTACATCATAATGACAATTACTTTTTAAAACTATAATACTAGCACTTGAGTGCAAGTGGATTAGTTTCAAGTAGTGCTGAGTTATTGTCTTTCTAACATTTAGGTGGCAGTTTCACCTACACTAGTATGCTCTATTTTCCAGTATTGTATGCACTCATATTTATTCTGTGCTTGTGCTGTTGGACTCTCTGGCCTTACCCTCTCTTGCAGAGATAGTGTGCAATTAAATAATCCTGAAATCAAATTTAAGAAAAGATTGTATTACTGCAGGGATGTTCCGGTGCTTGGGGCTTAAGCAAGTCCAAGGCCCAAGTTGTGCAAAAACTGGATGACTAAAATAGTTTTTCGGGTCAGCTCAACGGATATTGTGCTCGGGTTTGGTGTAAAGCAGAAAATCCTTGTAAAATCCAGCAGCATCCTGGTCCCTGAAACCAAAAAGATCCGAATTCTCCACACCCAGTTTGCATTTGCTGTCTTGCAGAATTTAATACAGCCAGAGCAAAACCAGAAATCTATCTATGATTGTTTTTTGCATTGGGAAAACTTTATGGCTGTGCCGTTTGAGGTGCTGATACAGCCCAAAGAGGCTGATGCTGCTGTGTGATTGCGTAGAAATAATATCTTTATGATGTCTTTATTTGCAGTGCCTTACCTTGACTATTTTATCTTTATCATTATTTTTTGACATTGTTTGTATTTTCTTTCAGACACTCCTATTTACCTGTTTCCTTTCACTTATAGTTGCGCCATGAAGATTATTGTAATATTTTTTAAGTGCTTAATTTGTCAAAGTCAGATGAGAGCACTGGCCATGAGCACAGAGTTAGATATTGGCATAATATTCAAAATCTGCTGTAGGGGTGGAGATGTCCTTACTGCTGAGTTTCTGCTGCCATATGAATCATAGCTAGTTCCTCTCCCCGACTCTGAATGCTATCATATGGTTGGTGGTGCAGCATCACCTCCCCACATGGCGTAAGACGAAAGCTCAGGGCTACACTGTAATCTCTCTGTAGGTAGATCACACCTCTATGCTGCTCACTCCTCCCTCGCTCCTTGTGGCATTCGTCTTGGGCACAAATTCAAAGCGCTTTACCCTCCCGCGTCTGAGAGGCCAGATAACATTCTCTGTCTCCTCCTGCCAGGGAGCGGGCCTATCCATTAAAAGCACACAGCATCACAGTGAAATTTATGTAAATGTAGATCAATAATGCGGCAGACGGACATTGGATTTGAAAAGCTCTGCTTTGGCTAAAACAGCAAAACCTTGCATGGACTACCAACAGGCACACATGCATAAAGCACTAGAGCACTCCAGGCAGAGCAGTGTTTAAAGCACATGAGAGAGAGGAGTTCTAGATTACTATACAAAAGCCTTGATGCTAATTTAAAGATACAAGCATAACTGCATACTCCATATTTAGAACCGCGCCTTAGCGCTGTCCTCCTTTTCACTTTTGCTCATAATATGCATGTAGATTTGTATTTCACCTTTCTCCAATTACTGAGACTGATGGACATCATTCAGTTCAGCATTGAAACATCCTGTCATCTCACTTCCTCTATATAATTTTTGCATTCATTTGCGGTCTGAGCGAATAATTAAAAGTTAACCCCTGAGGGTGATGGCAAAAATGACAAGATTGTGTTATTCTAAGTGGTAATTAATGATTTACATAATTTTTCAATCTAGGGCATTTGCCTGTTCGTAGTGCCAGCAGTGAGAATGTTACACGCAAGGTTCTCCGTTTATTGCTGTCACAAAAACCAAGGTAATTAAGCCAAGCTCCCCATTTGCATTTACAGTACTCTGAGCAGGGACTAGTGGCACTTAAAAAGAAATTGGAACGCAGATATGGACGGTCAAGGACCAATGTCATTGTAATGAAAGTGCTGAAATGGCTAACAGGACCATTCTTTGTCAGATGAGCCTGGAGAATTGGAGTAACCTTTCAGTGGCATCCAACTCGCTACTAATATTGTCATTGAGTTAAACATGGTTTGTTTGACGTTTCCGTCCATGTCAATGCTGAGTTCCCTTTTTGGCAGCTATCTATTGCTTCCCTGACTGTGAAATGATACACATGTGGATCGGTGTTCTCAATTGCCAACCTCATCACAAGGTGATGACGTTCTTAAAACCGAGGACACATCGGGATGAAGCAGATCTCTTTTTGTGGGAGTGCCAGCTCAAACGAGCCATTTCTTGTTCTTCTGCCTTACGTGCAGCTGTGGCCCATTCTGTCATGGGTTCAATCGGTTTGATAAATGTTGTGCAGGCTCCGAACTGATTGGTGTTCTCCTACTGAAAAGCCACGCTGGCCTCGTACAATATCCGGGTAGAAAGAAAGAGAATAAGTGAGGGAAAGAAGGGGGAGAACTGCTTGAACCCATGCCCTTCACTTGTGCACTCAGCTGCAAACCGCTTTTTCCCCCCAACTGCTTACCCACCCTTCGTGATGCAGTCTGACTGCCGAACTCTCACTTTTAACCCTATGTGTCCAGTAGGTGGAGTCGGAGGGCTCTCTCTTTGGGGCTATGGAAGCTTGCTGGTTGCTGATTTTGCCCTGAGGTAGCAAGCTGCCCTAAAACAAGGCACTTGTGGAGTGTCATAGCACCATAGTTGAACTTCGGCATGACGGTCTGTGGTAACGGGATTAGCTAATTGGGCTAAGTCAATCAACAGTGCCTCTTCTGTTCATTCACCCAGCAATGCACAAGCTACATTGCGGGATCTCTGTTCTAGACATCTTCATTTGGCTTCAGTAAAACCGTAACAGCTGACTCATAAAACATTATGTGACTGTGTGAGAAACAAGTCGGTACTATGTGTGCGTTTGTGAGTGAGAGAGCGAGCGCAGGAGAGAAAGCAAGCAAGAGAGTGATTGGTTGGCTGATAACATGAGATAAATTTTCAATGGCCCACAGCTTGAAAAGTGTTGCTGAGCAGAGGAAATCAGCAATCGATGGAGGGCCAAAAAAGCCCCAGTTATATACTACTCAGTGACAAAGAACATTTGTCTTATCAGCTAGCATTTGATCGGGCGCAGGCTAACAGGCCGATTGATTGCTCTATAAAGCTGTAGAATTGGAAGAAATGAATAAATCAAAAGAGATTAACAGACAGCCATACAACGGCCAGGGATTATTTCAGACCACTCGGGATTGGGCTAGTGTGGTGCAGAATTGTTTATTTGAGCTGGAAAAAGAGGAAAAAATAGTCAGAACAGAGGACGGCAAGTGAGAAGAGGGGGGGAAAGGAGGGGCCAAGGACAGGTCTTGTCATGTCGGATGACTGGAG